TGTAGAGATGAGGTCTCGCCAAGTTGCCCAGGCAGGTCTCGAACCCGCGGACTCAGGCAATCCACTCACCTCAGCATCCCAAAGGCGTGGGACTACAGGCTGAGCCACCGAGCCTGGCTCAAGGCAATTCTTTTACCTCGGCTTCCCAAAGGGCTGGGATTACAGGCTTGATCCACCTCGCCCAACCTTATTTTTTGATTTTTTGTAGAGACAAGGTCTCGCCATGTTGCCCAGGCTGATTTCAACCTCCTGGGCTCAGGCGATCCTCCCATCTCAGCCTTCCAAGTAGCTAGGACTACAGGCATGCACCACCACGCGCAGCCTATTGATTTTTATAGAGACAAGGTCTCCCCATTTTGCCCAGACTGGCTTCAAACTCTTGGGCTCAAGCAATCCTCCTACCTTGGCTTCCCAAAGTGCTGAGATTACAGGTGTGAGCCACTGCACCTGGTCTTTTTTCTTTTCTTCTTCTTTTTTTGAGAGACAGGGTCTTGTTGTGTTGCCCAGGCTGGAGTTCTCGCCAGCTTCTAATTTATTTTAGTGTATGTGAAATGGGGCAGATCATACACAAATAAAATACTTATTAGAGTAGATGGAAGGTATAGGGAAACAGAAGGAAGCTTATAGTTTAGCGTAAAACTTTTTCATAATGAGTGCTGCCCCAGTGGAAAAAGATGCTCTGTGTGGAAGGGAGTACCTCATCATTGGAGATGTTCAAATCAAGACTCAAACCTACGTGAGGTTAGATAAACTCTGAGGCCCTTCTTGGTCCTGTGGGGTATTTAACATTTTGATTTATAGACACCTGCTTATGTCTTCAAAGTCTTAATGAACTTGCATATCTCACTTTTCAGTGGTTGAAGGCCTTTCCCTGTTGGATTTGGGAGTGTCTCCATATTCTGGAGCAGTATTTCATGAAGTAAGTGTTCTTATTTTCTTTTTTGGATACTAAGAGTAGTTTACAGTCACAGATAGCAAAGCCTAACCTTTGTTTTGCACAAAACTTATTTATTTATTTTTATTTTTGAGCCAGAGTCTCAATCTGTCGCCCAGGCTGGAGTGCAATGGCATGCTCATGGCCACCACAGCCTCGACCTGCTGGGCTCAGGCGATCCTTCCACCTCAGCCTTCCAAGTAGCTGGAACCACAGGCATGTACCATTATGTCCGGCTAATTTTTTGATTTTTTTTTTTTTTTTTGAGTTGGAGTCTCACTCTGTCGCCCAGACTGGAGTGCAGTGGCCGCTCCCGGCCACCACAGCCTCGACCTGTTGGGCTCCGGCTATCATTCCTCCTCAGCCTTCCAAGTAGCTGGAACTACAGGCGCGTGCTACCACGCCCGGCTAATTTTTTGATTTATTGTAGAGATGAG